CCATTTTAGCTTGGCATTTCATTTATTCGTGTGATTTTCGTTTTCATTTTCGGTCTTGCCGGACGGTGTCGCTTTCGTTCTTTTGCACAGAACGAAAAGAGATGGCTTTGTCGCGGCGCTGCCTGCTCCCCGTCCTGCTGGTGGTCACTCTCACAGTGGTGTTCGCTCTTCACGGAGCAGCCGCCGGGAGTGGTTCGCCCCCCCCCCTTCCTCATTTCGCTTTCGTCATAATTCCTCTCAATAATAAGAAATTACGCCCGCAGAGGACGACGTGTTGGTGAAGACGCCGTTGGGCGTGGCGCGCGGCCTCGTGGGTCCCGGCTTCTTCTCCTTCCGTGGCCTTCCCTACGCCGTACCAGCTCCCCCTCATTTCGTTCTCGAAATGTTCAAGTGGCGTTGTACGCGCCACAGGGCTCACACCGTCACACAGGAACCGCCGGTGGGCAATCTGCGGTGGCAAGCGCCCGTGCCCAAGGCCTCGTGGGGACCCAACGTGCTCGACGCCTCTGCGTTTGGGTTCGTTGTTGTCGTCGTTCGTTGTCGTTGTTGTGGCCTTTCTTCGCACTCACCCCACTCTCACCTACTCTCTTTCAGGCATTGCTGCATGCAGCCGGGACACTGGAGCGACATCAGCGAGGACTGTCTCACGCTCAACGTCTTCACGCCCCAGAACGCCACCTGCGGTACCTGACCTCGCGAGCAAAAAAGAAAGAAAAGAAAAGAAAAGAAAAGAAAAGAAAAGAAAAGACAACGGCGGTGCTTACCACGAATGCGTTCTTTCTCTTTCTCTTTCGGACAGGCGGCACCGGAGCCCAGCTGCTGCCGGTCATTCTGTTCATCCACGGCGGCGCGTTCGTCAATGGTGTGCCCCTCGTGTTGTGTCGTGTCGCTTGTGTGTAGTTGTGTCGTGTCGAGTGTTTGTGCGAGTGGAAGACTGATGGTGAACGAATGCATCTCAGGTTGCTCACGCGAGCGGGTTTTCACGAGTGACTTCGTCGTCAACTCGACCAACACCATTTTGGTGACCACCAACTACCGCCTGGGCGCCCTGGGCACCTTCGCCAACGACATCTCTCAGGGTACACCCACATACAATCACACCGCACACACCGCACACACGTCTCTAACCCCCTCCCCCACCCGGTGCTTTTCGGTTCAGGCAACTTCGGTCTGCTGGACCAGATCACGGCCATGGAGTGGGTGAAGGCCAACATCGCCTACTTCGGCGGCGACCCCAATCGGGTGACGATCTCGGGCGAGTCGGCGGGCGCCATGTCCGTCGGCATGCACCTGGCCTCGCCGGTTAGCATCCAGCGCAACCTCTTCCAGGCCGCCATCCTCGAAAGCGACCCCTTCTCCTTCCAGTACCATTTCTCTCTCGTGTCGTGCGTGTGTCGTGCGTGTGTCGTGCGTGTGTCGTGCGTGTGTCGTGTGTGTGTCGTGTGCGTGACTGACGGTGGTGATAGGTCGCCCTCATTGAACGAGGCCAAGGAGTACGCGACGTTCTTGGGGGCCTACCTGGCCTGCCCCGAGAACGACATGGCGTGCCTGCTCTCCAAGTGCTTACCCCCGCCCAGTTGAGCTCTGCATTCCGCGCATTGTTGTTAAAAATGTTAATCTTCTAACCGAGCGCACGCAACGTTGAACGAACAGGCCGGCCGAGGAGGTGATCGCGGCGCAGAGCAAGGTGCTGGTGGTGCCCTGGCCGCCGAAGCTCGCCATCAATGCGCTCCCGTGGATGCCCTTTGTCGACGGCACCGTCATTGCCGATCAAGCTCTCAGCGTACGGTGACACACAGCACACGAAACAGCACACGACACACCGCACACACCGCACGCACATGATGGCCCACACACGACACACGGCGTGCTGTTTCGATCGATGGTGAATTGTGGAATGCAGAGGTATGCGGCGGGCAAATTCCACAGGGTGCCCGTGCTGGTGGGGACCAACCAGAACGAGACGCTCACCTTCGCCATGGACATCACTTCGCCCCTGCACAACCAGGCACGCATCAGCTCTCTCTCGCGCGCAGCACCCGACGGGAGCGCTGTCTCTCTGCTCATAGTCGCCCATCGTTGTGCCGATTGGTCACACAGATCTACGACTGGGAGTACGAGTCGCTCATGTACGTCCTGTTCGGCGAACATGCCTTGGAAGTGCTGAAGCTCTACCCGCCCACGTGTACGCACACGCCGCACACGCCGCACGCACGCACGCACGCACGCACGCACGCACGCACGCACGCACGCACGCACGCACGCACGCCCGCACGCCCTTATTTCCGTGTGTAGACACGGGACAGGACTTCTACACGCTGGTGCGGATGACGACCGATTTCCTGTTCGTGTGCTCCACCCGCAACGCCGCCCTCTCGCTTTCGTCGTACGGCGTGCCCGTCTTCACGTACCACTTCCTCCGCTCGGCGCCCCCGCACACCGACCCCGCCAACCCGCCCTATTGCTCCGTCAATAACTCCGTGTGCCACGGTACGATACGCGTCATGTGTCATGTGCGTGTCGTGTTGTGTTATTGACGCAATATGCAACACGCACATAACAGCTTCGGAGCTTGTGTACGTGTTCCACTCGGCGAGCTTCTTCGCCGACGAGGGCTACGCGTTCTCGCCCGCGGATTCGCAGCTGTCGTGGGAAATGCTGCGCCACTGGACCACCTTCGCCCATACCCAGCCGGGGCGGAACAACAATGCGACCGTACCCAGCGCTCTGTGGGCGCCCTTCTCCTCCAGCAACCTGGCGTCAATGGCCTTCAACGTGCCCCAGAGCAGCCTGACCCAAGGATTCAATAAGCTGAACTGCGACTACTGGGACTCCATTGGCTATCATTTCTGAACCTGTCTGAATGTAACATGTTGACCCATTTCTCAGTATGGCATTGTGACCGCCTATGTGTGGCAGTGAGTCAGGTAGAATGGCAACACAACATTGCTGCAGAAAATGAAATTACATGTGCCTCATGGCCAGAGAAATGAAAATCCATATTGTATTTTCATACTGAAACAAAGTTGGTCTTAGTTACCTCTAGCCTCTAGCAAGCTGAAATGAGTGTGAAAATTTGGAGCAAACAAATGTGAGTATGTGTTGTGAGTGTAATTCTGGTTTATAAACAGTACAAGAACACTTTTTGAGGATAGCATTTGTTTGCTCCAAATTCATATGGTAGAGGTTCTTTGTTATTTAAAGGCCAATGGCCAAACTATCCTGTGGTCTGTTTTGGTGACTCATATCTGTATCTCAACTTCCAGACTTACCCTCGCATGGGTGGGACTGCCTCAACAACAATTCCCCTGTGGTGTAGTTGGCTAGCATTTCCGCCTGTCACGCGGACGACCCGGGTTCAAATCCCGGCGGGGGAGATCTGTCTTTCTTTTTGGTTGGTAGCTACCAACACAGATGCAAGCAACATCAGGGTTAAAAGGGTAAAGGCAGTTGTGTGGAAAATGTGAGGGATAGGGACAGATGTGGACACACTTTGCAGGCCAGCAAGCTGGAAGAGTGATTTACATGTTGGGCACATATTGTCCCTTGAAAAAAAAGGGAGATAGCCGACCGTGGGGCTCGAACCCACGACCACAAGATTAAGAGTCTTGCGCTCTACCGACTGAGCTAGGACGGCTGCATCTTCGGCAATGAGGATGTAGTGGGGATCTGTTCTTAATTATTGTTAAGAGTCTTGCCCTCTACTGACTGAGCGAGGACGGCTTTGCGTTCATAGGGGCACTTTTGTGAACCAACATCAATGAGGAATAAGCTAACCCCCACACAATATGCAGATACTTTTTTCTAACCAAAAAGAGAAGGGGGCGCCCGGGTTTGAACCGGGGACCTGACGATCTGCAGTCGCCTGCTCTACCACTGAGCTACGCCCCCATACACAACAGCATTCTGCCTCACAGAACTCCATGCCAAGAGCTTCCTTGATGTCATTGAGGGTGCAATGGAGGCACTGATCTTGTTAGCCCTGGCCATGGCTGCTTGCTCTTGCAGTGAGGTTGTGAGGGTACCAATGAGGAAGGTGCTGTGGTTTGCCCACATGTCTTCATGGAACAGGCTTCCTGTTTGCTTCAGGGCCTTGCACATCACTACTGCTACACCTCACCATCACAACAAACACATTCATATCTGTTTCTGGAGGGTGTGCAGATACTGGTGTTACAGCCCTGACAATCTGTACATGCTGCCAGATAGTTAGTGAAAAAGAGTCACCCTTTTTTGTTAGCACTTGGTTTAACAAGACATGCATTCTCTGGCTGCTTGCTTCTTCCTCAGTCCTTGGTATTGGTATTTTTATTTTTTTTTAATTATCTTCCTTGCTTGACCACACACAATGTGAAAGGAATTAAAAATTGTGTTTGTTGTGCTGGTGGCAAGCTCTTTGTGTGGTGATGTTGCATTCTGCAACCACATGCAAAGAGCTTGACACCACACAAAAACCAACACTGCCTCCACCCCCCTCACCCAGCTCAAACAACACCACAGCTCAACCCCTGTGGCAATGAATGCAGCTGGAGGCCAGATGGAATTTTTCAACTATCTGTACAAAAAAGGCCACCATTTGGCTGTTTTTCATGAGGT